ATAATAATAATAATAATAATAATAATAATAATAATAATAATAATAATAATAATAATAATGACAATCAAGTCTTAAGCGTAAATGTAACTCAACTGAAGCAGTGCTTCAAAGAGTTTGGAGGACATATGATGGGAAATATTATCAAAGTGTTGAAGAAAACGCAAAATAAGAACGACGAATATGAAATACCCCCAGTTATCAATAATAAGGTAAATGAATTTATTAAATACAATATTTCATAAATTAATAAATGTTAATTTATTTTTTGGCGACAATTTGAGAAAGCCATTACATTCGGTAAAAACAAAAAATAGTTTACTAGAATTCTAAGCTTAACTTTCATAACTTCAAAAAATTATTGTTCTCAACTCTAAACAGAAGTAGTGTATCAAATATTTCAAATTACAGAATGGATCTGAAATGCTATAAAACTTTATTTGAAAAATACAAATAGAAAACTTGAAATAAAATGAAAAGTCCGAAATTAAAAATAAATTTTGCTAAGTTTTTTATATCAAAAAACGTATACAATACTATTGCTCTTATAAATAAAACTTGACCACACATTTCGCAAAACTTTTTCTTTTTGAAGATAAAAAAGGTGGTGAAGTCATACTATTTGTAACAGTAAAAGTAGGCAAGATACTCTGAACTCTTTCAAAATTGTTTACAAATTATAAAGTTAGTAGTAATAATTCAAGAAACAATGGTAATTAACATAATTTATCTTATTTACAATAAATTTATGTACAACTTTATTAGAAATCAAAGAAAATGTGCAATGTTCTTATTTTTCACAAATTTCACTATCTTTTGTACAAAAATCGTGAATGATTTTATGGTAAAATTCTTTGTAATTCATAGAATTCTTAATACATTTGGATTATTCTTTTATATAGAAACAACTAAGAAAAATAAAAATATTTTTATGCGATAATAATAAACTTGAAGGTATTTTTTATAAAAATTATATAGCTGTTTTTGGGATGAGTTGACTAAGAAGAGTAATTTCCAAGCTTAAAGTAATTATTGGCATTTTTCGATTTTGCATAATTAATAATGACAAAAATTCTTTATAAAAAATACTAATCAAATCATGACAACAAATGTAATTGTTAAAAGTTTCTAAAAGAGTGATCTGAAATATTTAATACATTCTTACAGATAAAGATATTAGGATCATTATTGGATGCTGAAGAACTATTACTAGCTAAAGATGTAACAACTATGAGAATCTGTGCCAACCACGTGATTAGAGCATTTTGGCCGCTAGAAGAACGGAAGAAATTAGTGCTATCGAATAGAAGTGGGCAACCAGCGGGTAGAGTAACAATTAAACAAGATGATGTGGAAAAAATAAAAAGTAAGTATTGTTAGATAAGACATCCAAGAAAGAGATAATCCAAGCCATACTCGCTTAATCTTTTTATTTGCTTGAATTTTAAAAAATTCAGCTTTCACATATTTAATGCATCAAAAACTTTTATTTGTGTTTATTGATTAATGAAAGGGAAATTTTGTATATTTTTTTAACAATTAAATTTTTTTATTAAATTTTGCCACAATTTTCTACAACAACATTTTCTCAATTGATTGAATATAAAAGTTTATAATTTTATAGGAAAACATGAGGTTTATAAATCTTCCCAGAGAAAAAAAATTAATTTACATAGATTTAAATTTGATTTTTGAATCCACGGAAATCTAAAGAGATGTAACTTATAATGCAAATGTATAGTTTTAGATGTAATTAGATCAACGGAGATTAAAAAGAGGGCCCGTTAGATGAACGTAGATGTAAAAAAAATTTTCCCAGGTTTTTACTGTAGCCAAAAGAATACATAGGAAATTTATTTTTCTCTACTAACTCTGGAATTTTTGAAATGTAGAAACCCATTAAACAAATTTTCTTTTCATTTTTTAACTTTCTGCCTCAGAACTTGAACGTTTTCGACTTTTGGATACGTAAATCGATAATTCGAAAAAAAATTATAAAATTGAGCCTATTTTAGAAAATTATGAAATTTGACTGCCAAAACGTCCAAACGTTCAATTTCGAATGAAAAAAATTATTGAAAGGAAATTTAATTGATCAGTGAATTACTGCATTTCAAACAATACTAAGTTGATTAAACAAAAAACTTTTATTATATGTCTTTTTGACATTAGGAACGCATCGTAATATAAACGTATAGATCACAACGATTAATTATTAAAATAATAGCAAACTGTCCAGTTATAAAATATTACTAGAAGTTTGAATAGCGCGCTATGCGCGCGCCTTAATTTTAACCAATAAGGAATCAGGGTCCATGTTTTGATAAATTATTTGTAAATAATTGTTGAAAAATTAGACAAAAAAATTAAAAAATCCCTTACTTGAATAAATTAAAAAATAAAGAAAAAAAAATTGATTGAAAATAATCGTTGTTTTCAGTAATATGGTACTCAAATAATTGACGAAATCTTTTTTTTTGTACTTAAGTCGTTATTTCAAAAAGCTAAATTAAAAAATCTAAATCTGAATATAAAACACAACTCCTTTTAGAATCTATTTTTAGAAATCTGCAAGTTACTTCAAAGGGGTCGTACTTTTGATATGAATAATCCAGACAATGACTTGATAAACATAAGAGGATGGATATCTGATTTATTAAAAAACGACCGCCGCCCAACACTGACCGAAGAACAGAAAAAAATAAGGAATGAAAAAGCTAAAATGTGACGAGAGCAAAAAAAAAAATGAACGCAAAAATGGTGACAACAACAACAACAACAACAACAACAACAACAACAACAACAACAACAACAACAACAACAACAACAACAACAACAACAACAACAACAACAACAACAACAACAACAACAACAACAACAACAACAACAACAACAACAACAACAACAACAACAACAACAACAACAACAACAACAACAACAACAACAACAACAACAACAACAACAACAACAACAACAACAACAACAACAACAACAACAACAACAACAACAACAACAACAACAACAACAACAACAACAACAACAACAACAACAACAACAACAACAACAACAACAACAACAACAACAACAACAACAACAACAACAACAACAACAACAACAACAACAACAACAACAACAACAACAACAACAACAACAACAACAACAACAACAACAACAACAACAACAACAACAACAACAACAACAACAACAACAACAACAACAACAACAACAACAACAACAACAACAACAACAACAACAACAACAACAACAACAACAACAACAACAACAACAACAACAACAACAACAACAACAACAACAACAACAACAACAACAACAACAACAACAACAACAACAACAACAACAACAACAACAACAACAACAACAACAACAACAACAACAACAACAACAACAACAACAACAACAACAACAACAACAACAACAACAACAACAACAACAACAACAACAACAACAATATATATAAATAAATATCTGATTAGATTCTTAAGTACAAGAAGGTCCTGGGTTAACGTCCCGTTTGCGAATTGGCCAGATTTTTTAAAAACTGGTTTCCCAGATACTAAAGTTAATTTTAAAAATAAAATAAAGAAAATTATTTAAGTATAAATAAATGTACCTCCTATCTCTTGAGCGTTCATTCTCACTTATAATTACCTTCACGCTGACATAAATAAAGAAACGACATCGAGTGAGATAACGCGTGTTAAGATATTCGTTGTGTGGGCCTTTGGGTTTCAACTCAACTCTTGTATTCATACAATATTGTAAGTATGTATTATATTGCTGGATATAATACAAAACTATTCGTACATATAATACATAAATGAGATAGGAGCCAGTTTAGTGTCTATACACTGATAGAAGGATTTGTTTATTTTCAATAAGCTTTATTAATTGTTAATAAATAATTTTTTAACATTATAGGATTCAATAAATATTTATTAATAATTAATATAATTATTTATTAAATACGATTTATTAAATGTTAATAATTATTTGTTAATTTATTAAAATATTTATTGATGGTTAATGAATATTTGTTAATTGTTAATAAATATTTATTTAAAATAAAAAGCAAAAATAGCAATTTTCTTTTGACACTTTTTATAACTCTACAGCTGGAATATATGATAATAATTAAATTCACTAAATAAATTAACCTTTTTAATATTTAAAAATATAAAAGATAATTATGAGCTGTGATAAAATTTAGTATTTTACAATAAACGTTATTATAATGTAATATAATTAATGCAAATAATTTATGAAGATAATTTTTGTTGAAAATATTTATTGAATGTTAAAAAATATTTATTAAAATTTTAAAAATTAAATAATTGTCTTCAAATAAATTCAATTATTAATAGTTAATAAATTAACTCCTCTATCAATGTACTGAAGAAAGAGCTCGAGTGAAAGAGAGAGCAGAGAATCGGTTATTAGCACCTGAAATAAAATAAATGTTTAACCATTTATATACATGTATTGACCACCATTGTAAAATAAGTAATTTCCTGCAGAGCTCGTGTCCAAGTTAAGTGTGATCGGTACAAACTCACACCTTGGGTATTTATAAATATAAACAGACATTAAATGCCTGAAGAGATATAATATCAACGCTGTAATGATAATGAAAATAAATAATTGTAATAAATAAATCGTTAAATTTAAAAGGCTTTTTTTGGGCTAATCGATAGGACCAGATATACCGAGAATATTCTTGACTCCTATCCCATCGATGCCGTGGACGTTAAAAGCGTCGTAAAAGTTAATCGAGTAAGCGGTTTTTGCCGAGTGTAGTGTAGTGAGGCACACCTGGATCTTCTCTTCTCTCCCTAGGCTGGATTTGTCGCGTTTTCAATACACAGCCACAAAACACCTTTCGTCTTTGTCTTTTCCTCTTTCTTTCTCTTGTTATCCTTATTCTGGATCCTTTCTTCTTCTCTTCTTGTATTCGCCTGACGGCTAACTCTTAAGTCTTAGAGTTTATTTTTTATTTATTTCTTAAACCATCATCATCATCATCATCATCCTCGTCACGGAATGCTCGTTTAAATCGTTAAAAAATTTAGCTACTGGTACAGATCATATCTAAAAGCCATCTCTTTATCGATCTCGTTAACGATATATTTTAAAACTGCGACAACTATACAACAAGAATATCCCGTCGTGAGGTGATTTATCGTTCCATCCTCAGTCGACGACATATTATTCGTAATGAGCTGATTGTCATTTGCACAAATGATTAATCGATCTTCATCATTTAGGTTTATACATACCTAAATTTTTTTTTTTTATAATAGATATTTAAAGCTAAAGACCTACTACTAAAATGATTAAGAGTGTACGGTTGATTTTCACCACTTTAAACATCATTAAATTTAAATTTAATAATACATGGTTCATTTACGGACTATAAAAATTTATAATTTAAAAAAATGACTACTCATCACTCATAAAAATTTTAAATCAAAAAATAATTTATAAAATTAATCTTGAAATTTTTTTAAAAATTAAAACTTAAATTTTAATATTTGATCAAGATTTTTAGATACTTTAGGGAAGTAGCGTCACTTATTTCAGCTGAGAAAAAAATTTTCTCACCTTGAAAAAATTTTTCTCTTGAATATTTGATACCCATTTTATATTATTTTAGCGTGCAATTATATATATTGAATGAAAAAAAATGATACAATATTATTTGATCTCATTTGACATGTTAATCAATAAAAATATTAATGAAAATTTACTTCTATCTTTATATTTAATTTTTTGGAGCAAGAG